TTGAGAGAAATCAGACAAATTAAAACAACACATTCCTGGGAACTGTTCACATCCCATATGTTCTTTTAACAGTAGGTAGTCTATAGTCACACGATTTTGGAGCACTGCAACTTGCACTTCTCCTAATTCTTGGTTGAGTTCCGACAGTATAGATCCAGTCAAATTTGTTGTTTTACTGTATGCACAGGCCAGCTTAGATATCTCCTTCTTCATTCCAATGGCAAGTCCAGGAACCGGTGGGATGAATGCAGCTACAACTGCAACAGCGCCAGGATCTTTGTTGAAGTTTTTTGATGATCATCTTCTGGAATGACTCTTCCAGAGGATGTTGATATTGGAAGTTCTTCTTCATATTGTATCTTAATTCATTTTCTGTGTAGCCAAATGAGGCTTTGATACTCTGTATAAACACAAACAAACCCTTTGTCCACACTTTGATATGACCTTTATACCATTGTGAAGAACCTATTGGAGATCACCACACAGGAACTGCTTTTTTTTTTAAGAGAAAGGAATATTATCAGAAAAATGTACTTCCATAGCTGATCATCTGACACCCTTTGAAAGATCAAAATTTAGGATATGTAAAGCATGCATTAATCATTGATTTCCAGTTAGTTTTATCCTATCAGGGAGTAATCCCCCTTTTCTTTCTCTTTTTTTTTTCGTTATCATTAATCTACAATTACATGAAGAATACTTTGTTTACTAGGCTCTCCCCTATACCAAGTACCCCCCACAAACTCCAGAATGGAGATTTTTGAGATGTTTGTAGTGAACCTTGTAGAGACGGAATGATGGAGGGACCGTTGGAAGTGGATGGGAACCAAGAGCACAGTAAGTGAAAAGCAAACAGAGTCTGTGGTGGGGGGGCAGTGGGAGAAGAGGGGAGGTGTCACTGGGAAGGAGGGATCTCAAGGCAGCTTCTACCAAGGTAGAGAATAAGAAATATGTTCATTCTTTGAAATTAAAAAAAACAAAATTATGTGTTGTTGAAAAATCAGGATTGTTTCTTTTAAATCATGGACATAAAACCAGCCAAGGGAAGCTGAAGGGACCTTCCAAATGACTATGTTGTATTTATTTTTATATATTCAGTGTCCAGCACAGGGCCTGCCATATATCCACATGCAATAAATAGTTATTGGAGACTATATTTTTGGGCTTTAGGACTTATAATTTTAGGAAAATATTTTTGTGGCCTGGAGCCTGTAAATTAGCCTGAATATTCTTTCAGCAGGACAAGGGCACTTTAAGTCTTTAATGAGAGCATATTAGAGACCTTTTCTTTCTGCCAGTTTGAGATTGCTGATATCTCTTCAAAGTGGCTGGGACATTTGCAACCCACAAACCTCTGGAGAGAAAATAAGAGCCCCCCAGAGCACAATTATGTTATGCTAGATCACTGTGATACTAGGAGAGTGTCTTCAAGCAGGAAGAACTGGTGAATTTAGCAAAGAGGAATGTTTAAAATATTTATCCCTTCACTCCTTATTTCATCGTTCACACTTACTGAACATTCCACAGTACTTACTAAGCACCTGCTATGTGCCAGGTAAAATTTTAAGTACTGGAGACAGGCAGCACCTCTTCAGTTATGGAGATTACATTGCTATGACAAAATAACAATATCCTATGATGCCAAGTAGTGAAGAGTGTTGTCAACAAAAAGTAAAGCAGGTTAAAGAGAGAGCAACAAATCGGAGAGGGCTGGGTGGGACTTCTATTTCATGTAGAATGGCCTTGGAAGGTTTCTGATGAGAAAATGCTAGCCACGGGTCTAAAAGACCTGGAGGAAGCATGTCCAAGGCAGAGAGAACAGCTAATGCTGAGACTATTCATTCTTGAGGCAGGCGGTGAACTTGGCACTTTTTAGGAAGAGTTAAAGGTCAGTGTGGTAGGAGAACAGGAAACAAGAGAGTGGGGGTTCTGAGGTTAGAAAGAGAGGCCAGATCAGGTGGGACCTTGAAGTCTTTTATTCTCACTGTGTGAGGAAATCATTGGATGGGTTTTGAGCAAGAAAGGAACTTGTTAGGGATTACGTTTTTAGAGGATTGCTTTGACTGGTATGTGACAATAGATCCTAAGAGAGCAAGACCTGAAGCCAGGTAACAGTTTAGGAAGCTGCTGCATTAATCTAGGCAAGAGAAGATGGAGATTTGAGCAAGGGTGACAGCAGTGGTGATGAGGAGAGGTAGAAAGATTTAGACATATTCTCAATTTTTAAAATAACAGCTTTATTGAGATATAATTCACAGACTATAACATTTTATTTAATTGTACCCATACAAACTGTACAGTTCAGTGGTTTTAGAGATAGACACAACGACTTGATCATGGTGTTGTT